TGATAATCGGGTTTTTCCGCAATACGTTAAACGATAATACAGATTAGAAAAAACTACTTAAATAAATCAAAAACCTTTCTAAATGCTATAAAATAAAAATGCATATAGCGGTTATCAAAGTATATTCCATTGTCTATTCTAATTCCCCACCCATAAAATCCCTATAACCACCGTTTCCATAGGACCAAATGCTGGGATTAGGGGTATATGAGGGGCATTACTTTAACTACTGTTGCCATCTATGCTAAACAAAATTGAAAGTAGCAGTTGTGTTTTCAGTACTGATGCGCCTTAAACGTGGCACACCGTGCTTTCTTATTTTTTTTTCCACAGGAGTGAGTTGTGTAGAACCCACACGTTAGAAGATGAGGTCATCTCTGGCCTTTTTGCATTTTTCTACGGCATAGCAGATATAAACTCACTATCATCCTGATTTGGCGTACAATTGGCCGAAATGTAACACTTTTATCGTTCTGTCCTGTTCTTCCTCTCTGTGATTTCAAACAAACCTCCTCCTGTACGCGCTGAAAACCTTTCATTTCCCTTTCTTTGCCTCTAGCCGTTTTCTACCGCAACTCATTGCCTGTGACGGAGACGCTGAGAAGATTAAAAAGTTATTTCAGAATTCGGTTAGTTTCTTCATATTTTTTTTCTGCATGTAACTCTTGTATCTTTTGCTGTCAACTAGGATACCACAGTTATTCTTTTTGATCCACATTAACACGCTTCGCGAACACCCAGCACCCCAACTGCATTTAATCGTTGAAAAAGTTTCCTCTTAGATGAAGCAGTCTTGGGCTGAAATCCCGACATCGGAGTACGAGAAGTGTGCACATCACGATTGAGTAACCGCTCGTGTTTAAATCTGCATTTTCTCTAATAAATGGGAAATTTAGCCTTCTGGGTGTTTGCACATGGGTAAAATTGGAGTTTATTTCAGCACCGGAACAGTTTGTTTATTGTCCCGAGTTTTCAACCTAGTACAGGATGAGAACTCAAGCAATCAATTTGTCGCCGGCGTACAAAGCCCTGCGCAATCACGTCCAGACGTACATCACTAGCAGTTGATTGTTTCGCACCCCTGTAATTGTCCCCTATTTTGCTGCTATCACATCTGACGATAAACTCCTACACGACTTCGAACGCTCAGGGCATTAAACAAACTATCCGTATTTTGCTCTGCTACTCGTAGTTTTCCCCTTTCGTGAGTAAGGGAGGAGGCTGATCGAGCACCGGAACAGTATATTTATTGTCCCCATGTTCCAAACCCGTACAGGAGTTCATCGTGAGAGGCAGCAGCAGCACCGAAAAGGGGCAATTATAGGCGACACAGGCCAATTAACTGTCAGTGAGGCATGTATGGAGGCGTGGGCGATTATCTTGACGACCGCGCAGTTGAACTCATTACCCGTTTCGTAGGTGTGTGTGCAGCAGCTTGCGGTAATTCGTAGCCCCGTCGTACAGCCAGCTTACAGGGGTATGCATTTATATAGACCCCTGTATGCATTTATATAGACCCCTGTATTCATTA